CTCACTCCCTACGGAATCGTTCGGGCTGAAATCCATTTTTGAGTCATGCTTGACTTTCCGAAGGAGAGTCCACATCAAGACATTTCACAGAAAATGTTTTCTTGTGCAAAGCATTCGTTGCAGAAACGCTATTCAAGACTCTGTCTGCTGCCTTTCTTGGGGCTGACGATGTGAGAAAGGGGACAAAGGGCCTCCACTATCGCTGCATTTTACAAAAATCTGAAGAAAGAGAGCAAAATGCCAATATTTGTAATGTCTGGGTGGTGGATACATAGGTTGATTCCTCTCCGGGCTTTTGCATGTTTTTGAACTATTGTACAATAATATGAGCAGCAGCAATGGCAATAACATCATGATCACTCCATCTCTTGCCAGCCACTGGGATCCACTTTCAAAATGTTATGACCGTCCAATAGAGACATGTCTCTGTTAGACAGCAGTTAAGGCATGCGTACAGTTCTAAGGGCGACAAGACCCAGGTCAACTCTGACTTCGCTACTTACTGCTTTCTAACTTTAGCTGAGTTACAGCCCCACTTTGTGAGGATTAAATGGCAGGATTTGTGTGACGCGCTTAGCACAGTGCTCACGACACAGTGCTCAGCCCCCATACATGTGGGCTGTTATCAGGCACGCGACGCTGCCTAACTGGTCATGCAATGGGCAGCTTCCTATGCCAGCAAACATTATCCATGGTCTTAAAAACACAAAAATGACAGAATAAGAAAACTACCATCTCTAGAAGAACTGCTGTACTTTGTCCTTCTAGGTCGTGTACTTCTGGCCACAAAGAAGTTCAGGGTCACATTGATGCGAGTGGGTGAGACCTGATGACCTGGATAATCATGATCTGTTTTCTCCTTATCTCGGAGCCCCACTTTTTGTGACTTAATTTCATTCTCAGTTTCATTGTAAGTTCCCCTATAAGCCACCTGAGGTCCTTTATTCAACGTGGTTGGGATGAAAGGAAGAAGAAAAAAAAGCCATGGACAGAAGGAAGGAAGGAAAGTAAGAAGAAAGGATTTGTAATACAAGGACATTGAAACTATTCATTGTAGGTTCGGTTCCTGGATTCATGCTAATTGGCATAATTTTTCGTCGCATACAGTACTTTCTCAGGTCCTCTCTGCCTCCCCGGGGTTTGTTTTGCATTTTGACTGGCAGTAAGCCTTCAGCTATTATCCCCAGTGCACCTGTGAGTTTTCATACATGACGCCACTTGAGGGCTGTCACGGGTTCTGGTTCCCTCCGCAGCCTGACATCTCCTAGAGTCAGTTCTTCATTATCTGTGTGGAGACTGGGCACTTTGGTTTTTGGCAGCGAATGCTTCATCCAAGGTCAATTTCCCTCAAGTGCTCAGCACCATTTCAGATGGTGTGTGCTCAGGGAATGCAAATTAATTTAATGTTAGCTTTGGCCAAACCCCGCTAGGAGAGTAAACCAGCTTTTAAAACCATCATACGCTGATAAACATCACCTGAATTATCCGGTGTTTGAGTATATACCAGCGTATAGAGTTTTACCTTCATTCCAAAGGCATCATCCATAGGACTTTTAAACTCATCTTTGAATTAGCCTTTTGTTCCTTGTTCTTTGATTAGAAGTACATTTTAATTTGACATTATTTAAATATCTGTGTCATTATATTTTACTATAACTGGGGGATATCAGAATGGGTTGAA